TCAGTCTGACTCTGGCATAACATTATGAGACAAGGAAAAAACTATTTAACCCCAAAATACATTTCCTTGACATACCTTGAAATTGCCCTTTAAAGTCTCTTGTGGGAAAAATCCATGTTCTATAGAGAATCCTCTTCCCCCTTTGTTTCCCTTCTTTCCTTCTCAGACCCAGGAGATAATCAACTAAGAGCCAGGCACCCTTTCAAGTTCAATAAAAACAATTTACAAACTGCTCTCTCAAAAGTCTGCTATCTAAGAGCTTATCTGCACGATAAAACTTGGTCTCCACAATCCTTTATGTTTAACCTGAACATTCCTTTCTATTGATCCTAGGCCTTTAGACAAACTCAACCAATTGTCAACCAGAAAATGTTTAAATTTACCTATAGCCTGGAAGACCATCCCTACCCCCTCCACCCAGTTTGAGTTTTTCCACCTTCCTAAACCAAACCAATGGATTTCTTAATAGTATTTTATTGATGTCTCTTGCCTTCCTAAAATATATAAAACCAAGCTGTACCCCACACCTTGGGCACATGCTCTCAGAACCTCCCGAAAGCTGTGTCATGGGCCATGATCACGTATATTTAGCGCAGAATAAATCTCTTCAAATATTTTATAGAGTTTGACTCTTTTCATCAACAGAAAATATATATAAACTGGCATTTTAGGTGAAAATAATGATTACATTGCATATACTAATGCACACAAACAGAAACACACAAATCTTCACTAACCATCAACCACTAAAGCAGTCACTTAGACTACCTTAGATTTACAAATCTGTTAATTTTATTACACCTATTTTCTTTTTATTGACTTAAAAACCATCCCTACCCTTTCAAACAATAAAACTTTCTAACACATCTTATAGAAGGAATAACTCGAACTCAAGTACCCATCCAGGTGGAAAAATAAAGAACCATTGAGATAAAATCAAAATATATAAACACAAGTTGTTAAATTAAATTTGAAATGTTGAAATTAGTTAGACTATTACACAATAGCACTTGTATGAGAATATAATAATAATTTAATAAAGAAAATCCACCCACATGGGAAAAGTAATTTGGCCAACTTTGATTAAAAATGGATTAACTTTTTACAAATTAGCACTTAGGAATAAATGATACTTTTATGCAAAAGGGTTCTCCATAGACAAACTATGCTGATTTATACATCATACAAATAACCAAAATTAAAAATTAAAAAGAAAAATTCATCACAGATTAAAAAGCTATCTCTTCTTGTGCATTTAAAATATAATTTGACTTTTTAAATCTTAATTTATGCTTTTAAAACAAATATGCTATTAACAAAAATCAGAAAAAACAACATGTATGATATATACATATATAACAATATATACAAAGTATGATACATTAAAATATTAAGGACTTTTCTTTGAAGTCTTAAGTTTATTGTTAATGACAGATTCAGAAATAGCTTTCTAAACTGTAAACAGCCAGAGAAGTGTGATTACTCTATTTACCTGTTCTATATTGTCTTTTCTGCCACTCAAGAGCTAGCCTAAATGTAAATTGGGTACATTGCACACATTTTGGGTTATATATGTGAAATATTTTTAAACAAATATTATTTCAAAAGACAATATAATTAAATACATGTACTTATGTGTGTTTTATGAAGTAAATATTAACAATAATAGGCTTCATAGATAGCTATTTAAATGTGAAAAATATCTTGCCATTTGCCATCAGGTCATTTAAAAGGAAAAGAAAAAATTTCTACTCATGCTGTAAAATTTGGGCATGGATGCCTTGAAAATCCCTAAGGTAGAATTAGATCTTTTAGAAATGGAACAAATTCTAAAACTCATTTAGCCTCTATCCACATTATATAGATGAGGAAACTGGTTTACAGATATGTTAAGGGTTTTGATTCAAGTAATTCAAGTAATTAGTGACACTGTGTGATTAACTTCATGACCCAAACTCTGAGCCTGGGTCTTTTCCAACTTCGTCATATTTTGCTGTACTCATTGTGAAACAGGAGAGTTCCCTGACCCCCACCTTGCAGGTCATACAACAGGGGTGTGGCTCTCTGTTCAGCCACCACAAGCTCAAATCCCTTACAGGATGGGAAGCATGCAGATGCTGGAACTGAGGGGAGCTCTTCTGGGCTCTGGCCCCACAGCAGCCTCTAAGGGTAGGTGTCTGAGACTCCCAAAGCTCAAGTGGGTGTGTGTTACAGTGAACTCTTTTAGCCTTGCCATCCATGGATGCCTTAAGGATTAACCAGCTCAGTGGACCCTCCACCTTTTTGCAAGGGCAGGGGGCCATTGTGCCAGTTTCTGTATCCCAAGATCTTGTCCAGCCTCCCAGAAGACTCGGGTCACACATGGACTTGAAGGATGAATGTGGGGGTTTTATTGAGTGGTGGAGGTGGCTCTCAGCAGGTTGGATGGGGAGCTGGACAGGGAATGGAGCGGGAAGATGATCTTCCCCTAGAGTTTGGCCATCCAGCAGCTGATTCTCCGACTGTCCCCAGCCAAATTCCTCCCAACATTCCTTTGCTTCTCATCCTCTCTGCCACACCATTCTGTCATTTGTCTGTTTGTCTCCTTGTCAGCTTCTGGAGCCTGGGGTGTGGGGTTTATATGGGCATAAGATGGGGGTGTGGTGGGCCAAAAGGCAACTTTTTGGCTGTGACAAGAGAAATGCCTGTTCTTACTTAGGGCTGTGGGTATCCAGGCTTAAGGGTGGGGCTTTTGCCAGGGAACCACTCTCTTCTTCCCAGTATTTCCCTGTGTCCTGTCCATATCAATTGGAAATCTCTTACCTGTTCATTATAATTTATCAAACTAAACTTTCAAAAAAACAAAAAGAAGTGCATTTTTAATTTTTCATATAGTTAGCATTACTCAACATTTCAAGAATACCAATAATTTATTAAAATTCCACTAACTTTACTGAAGAGCTAATAATGTGATTTAATTTCCTGAGTTCAAAGAAAGATTTTGATGCAGCAAAATATATGTTCTCTAGCCTTGGTTCTTTACACACTTAACAGTTCTTGTTAGGGCTGTGGATTTAGGAATTTCTATTAAAAGAATTTTTTCAAAGAAAATCGAATACCACATGTTCTCATTTACAAGTGGAAGCTAAATAATGTGTATACATTGACATAGAGGATGGAATAATAGATGCGGAGACTTGGTGGGGGGAAGGGATGAGAAATTACTTAATGGGTATAATGTACACTATTCGGCTGATGGTTATAGACTTCACCACTGTACAATGTATTCATGTAATAAAACTGAACTTGTACCCCTTAAATTTATGCAAAAATTTTTAAAGAGATTTTTGTGTAAAGCAAATCTTATTATCCATAACCTGTTTCTCTTCATCTTACTTTCTCCCTCAAAAGGATTTCCATCTTTCAGTTGTGATACAAAGTAGCATATATTAGTGATAATAAATCATAATTTTGGGGGAAAGTGTCTATTTCTGTAATGAAAAATTATCAAAAGACTTAATGGACTGTTTCAATCAGCTTTAGGTCATTAAAATCAGAGGTTTTTTCAAAGATGGTTTATAGACTATTTACTCCAGAATTACCTAGGGCTCTTATTGAAATGGGAAATCTGGGTCCAATTTTAACCCTACTGAATTTAACTTTTAGAGGTGAGGCCCCCAGTTCTACATTTTTAACAAGAACTCCAAAAATTTTTCTTGCACAAAACTATTGAAGTTTTTGAAGACAATGACAGCTTCATATTTGTCTTAGATCTTCATTGTTTATTAAAAAAAAGTCTAGCACGTAGTCCCAAACTAGTATTTAATTAATTAAACAAAATTAACTCTGACTTCAGTAGGAAAATGGGGGAGGAACGGAGTCCATCGAGAAATGGGAAAGATAAAACTCAAATTCTTCGGTTTTTTTATTTTTATTTTTGGAGACAGGGTCTCACTCTGTTGCTCAGGTTGGAATGCAGTGGCACCATCTCTGCTCACTGCAACCTCTGCCTTCTGGGCTCAAGCCATCCTCCCATCTCAGCCTCCTACGTAGCTAGGACCACAGGCACACACCACCACATCTGGCTAATTTTTGTATTTTTTAAAGAAGGAGTTTCACCATGTTGCCCAGGTCGGTCTCGAACTCCTGAGCTCAAGCAATCCACTCACTTTGGCCTCCCAAAGTGCTGGGATTACAGGTGTGAGTCACCATGGCCCGGCCTTAATTCTTGTCATTTTATGGGAGATGAATAATGTCACATATATCCCATCCTAATTCAGGAGTTCTCCATACTATGCCCATGTATCTGTTTATAGGCCCATTTTGAGTACCTATGATATGGAAAAACTCCACCAGCTGGAGACATGCTGCTCATTTGATCTTCAAAGCATCTCACCACTATACTAGTTTTTTCAAATGAAATAATTGAGGTTTGTTCATGCATTAAAGGACTCGATTACATTCTGCACCTAAACAATTATGCTAAGACTAGAAATCAATTATATTTGAACTTCAGTTTAAGTATTTTTCCTCTAACTTTGCTACTTCTCTCACTCTTATAAATTGCTTTTTGTATTTTTGATATATATGCACATTTAAATGTATTTATTTCTCCATAGGTGGAAAATCTTAAGAACTAGAATTTATAAATGTAAATATTTACAATATTAAAAGATATTATGGTATATATTAACATGTTTTCATATATTTATATAATTCATATTTATTTTCAATAAACCTAAAATTAGCACATTAGAAAATATAGTTCTTTAAATTGATGTTAAGGCGGCTATATTAACATCTTTAAAGACAACTTCTGGCCACAACATTATTCAGGATTAAACAAAATATTTTTCCTTAAAAAAATAAAAGGAGGCTTCATAGTTTGTGAAAATAATGCATATTGCTCTGTGTTGAAAAACTGTTCCATACATCTTATTACTTTGCATACTGTATTAGTTTCCTAGGGCTACAATAATAAAATACCACAAACTGAGTAGATTAAAACAACAGAAACATACTGTTTCACAGTTCTGGAAGCTTGAAATCAAGGTGTCAGCAGGGCCATGCTTGCTCTGAAATCTGCAGGGGAGTCCTTTGTCTCTGTCTAGCGTCTGGGTATTTCTTGACTTGGATCTGTGTAACTCCAGACTCTGTCTTCATCCCGGCATGGTGCTCTCCTTGTGTGTGTTTGTGTGTTCCCATGATCCTCTTCTTAAAAAGACACCAGTATACAGGATTAGGAGCCCACCCTATTCCACTATGACCTCATCTTAACTAATTACAAATTTCCAAATAGGGACACATTCTGAGGTACTTGAAGTTGTGATTACAACATATATTTTTCTTTTCTGAGAGAGGGATTACAAGTCAACCCAAAATACATATGAAAAAACAGCTACAACAGCAGCAACTTCAATGGCAATTCCAGCAATGGTTTTCCAAAGCTGTTTTTGATGATTCTTCAGAAATATGTTTTAGTCATTACTATTCTTAGTAATTGCTTCTACTTTCACTTGGCTAAATTCATCAGTAGCACACAGGGAAAGTATTTGCATGCACTTGATGCTATATTTGAAATAAAACAGAAATGACAAGTTCTTACGTTAAAAAAAAAAAAAACTTCTGTTTAATCAGTGGCATGCTTAGATATAAGTCAATGTTTTAATTAGCTAAAAAAGACTCTTCCTATTATATTTCAACACCTAATCAAATAAGTACTGCACTTCATGGCCAAGAACTATAAGTACAATTTTCATGAGGACAAATTCATTTTTAAAGTGATAATGCCTATGTATTTTTCCTTTAATAAAGGAAATTTGAACCAAATATGTGAATATGAAGAGTGAAAAAAAGTCAAGTGTGGTGGCTCATGCCTGTATCTCAGCACTTTGGGAGGCCAAGGCAGGTGGATCACCTGAGGTCAGGAGTTCGAGACCAGCCTGACCAATATGATGAAACTCCGTCTCTACTAAAATTACAAAAGTCAGCCAAGTGTGGTGGGGGGGGCACCTGTAATCCCAGCTACTTAGGAGGCTAAGACAGGCGAATCACTTGAACCAGGGAGGTAGAGGTTGCAGTGATCTGCAACTCCAGGCTGGGTAACAGAGTGAGACTCCATCTCAAAATAATAATAATAAATTAAAAATAAATGAATAAAAAGTGAAAGAATTGCTTTAATTCTAATCATCTCATTTAACTGTTCCACAATCCTCCCCCCAGCCAGACTGACCTGTGTGTTGCCATATTTGCTATTTCTATTACCACATCTGTTTCCAACTATGCTCCACCAAAAATGTACTTTTTAGCCTCCATTCCCTCTATTCTTCCTATTCTTCAAGGCGCAGTTTAAATGACATCTTCAGCATGGACATGTCTACTTCTGAGAATCATTCTCCTCCTAAACATTCATCACAATAATAGTCACAGTAGTTAGAAATGGTACATGTATATTTCTAGAAATACTTATGCTTTTTCATGCCAAGGTTTAGTGTGCTTGAGATTCCAATAACAGCACTGTGGTTAAGAACACAGGCTCTGCAATTAGACAAACTTTTCTATTTCACGATTGACTAGTGTGGCAATGGCCAAATTACTTAATCTCTTCAAGTTGGTTTTGCTCTTGTACAAAATGGAGATAATAAAGTAAACTTGTAAGGCTAATATAACAAATACTGCACATGCTGTTGCTGCTAAAACACGTTAACTTGAAACTGGTGGGCATTAGCAATTATACACAGTCATACAAATATTAGGTTGGTGCAAAGGTAATCGTGGATTTTGCTTTTGTACCAACCTAATATTTATTTCATCTCCGTTAAATAATTGCACAAACTATTAATATCATATATAATTTTCTTTACCACAAAACGTCTATGTTAAAAAATTACAAATTTAATTTATTTTCATTTGTTCTTTGAATAAATGTTTCTCTCCTTTTTAATAAACCAATGGGTAAAAGACACAATTGAGGAAGAATTGAAAAATGAATGAATTCACTAGAATTTTGTTACTGTACTTGACAATAGGTTTTCTTAAGTGTTGGAAATGAAGAGGAAAGTAATGTTAATAGGATTTTCCTCATGTAGCAGATCATTGCAGCATGTTCTCAATATGAGCTTCTGCATTAGTCCAGGTGATACTTGTAAATTTGTGCGGAAACGTTTTTAATATTAGTGTAAAGGAGCTATGAAGGAAATATTTATGAAACATTTCTGGGGAAAATTATTAGCGATGGAAGGAATGTAAGCTAGCAGGAAATCTAGTATAGTGGAAAGAGAAGTGAATTTAGACTCAGCATTGGAGCTAAACTGCCACTTAAGAGCTGCCTGACTCCAGTAAATTGTATCTCTTCTCTGGACCTCATTCTTCATCTGTAACACTAAATTTAATCACCATGGTAAATATATGACAGTCAGTGTTTTGACCTATAAAATGGCTTTAAAAATCACCACTTATGCCTTTTAACACCTTTCCTACTGAACCAGGACCTAGCTTTAGCATTTTTTTAAACATACTTAAGACACACTCTATTTTTTTATTATTGTTAGATGCTACAAAGTGTTAATTTTATTAGCTGCCCTAATCATGGATAAATTATAAAGGTTCTATTACTTTTCAAATTCCATATTTTTATTAGAAATACAGCCATGTGTCACTTAACGATGGGGATATGTTCTGAGAAACACATCCTTGGGTGATTTCCTCATCTTGTGAATATCAGAGTGCACTTCCACAAACCTAGGTGGTATAATCTACTACACACCTAGGCTAAATGGGATAGCCTAGTCCTCCTAGGTTACAAACCTGTATAGCATGTGACTCTACTGAATGCTGTAGGCAATTGGAACACAACGGTATTTGTGTATTTAAGCATATCTAAACATAGAAAAGGTAAAGTAAAAATATGGTATTATAATTTTATTGGACCACAGTCACATATGTGGTATGTTGTTGACCATAGGTCATCATGTGGCACATGAATATATGCTAAAATTGCACTATTATAATATGACTTTAGATTTCTTGTGTGAATATTGGCTTTATAAAATGTTTTACATTAAAAAATCCATAAAATATCCATTATCAGAAAATAACTTTGGATATAATTTTTATGTGCTACTTTTAAAATAAGAGGTACAGCATGATACAATATTAATGTATGAATTCAACCACTGACAGTAGTGCTTTCTCTTTCTCTCATTACAAAACTCCAACTGACAGGTACACTTTCATCACAACTCAGCTTAAGCTATAACTTCTCCATGAAGCTTTTAAAGATTAAGCCAAGTAAAAAATTTTAAAGATCAGAAAGCATGTAATAAGATAACAGAAGACAGACCACACAGTTAGAAGACATGAAATCTCAGATTCAATAAGAGTAAACTTAACTCTATGCTCTTTACAAAAGACATACCTAATACAAAAAAATGACAAAAATATAAGAATAACATGATAGTTTTTGATACCAGCACTTTGGCTGACAAGGTATATTAAGTGATTATTTAACTGAACCCACTTACCAATTGATATAGTTTGGATGTGTGTCCCCTCCAAATCTCATATTGAAATATAAACCTTAGTGTTGGAGGTGAGGCCTGGTGGGACGTGATTGAATCATGGGGGCAGATTTCTCATGAAGAGCTTAGCATCATCCCCTTTGGTACTGTCCTCATGATAGGGAGTGAGTTCTTCTACGATCTGTTTGTTTAAAAATATGTAAAACCTCCCTGCTCACTCTATTGCTTCTGCTCCAGCCATGCGATGTGTCTGCTCCCCCTTCACCTTCTGCCATGATTGTAAGTTTTCTGAGGCCTCCCCAGAAGCCAAATAGATGCCGGCATCATGCTTCCTATACAGCCTGCAGAACTATGAGCCAATTAAACCTGTTTTCTTTATAAATTACCCAGCCTCACGTATTTTTAATAGCAATGTGAGAACAGACTAATATGCCATGTTGGATACAATTTAGGAAAGCATATCTTTAAATCTTTCCATGTGATGTTAAAATCATCATCATCATCATCATCAGACCAAAACCTAAGTGAAGTTGGAAACCAAGAATGAAGCACTGATTACAAGTTTCATCTTTAGGGTAATTGTTAAACCTCATAAACTTAAATTTATATCTTCATAGTCTTATGCAACTTAAATTTATGTCTTCATAGTCTTGTGTAACTCCTGCAAAATCAGGAGTCTTCTTCCAGAAGAAATCCATCTTGCAACTCTAGGCTCCCAATTGTCTAAACATACTGTAAATATGAATTAGATACAGCCACCTTGCTGCTATGAAACAGTAATAATTATTAGCCATCCATTATGTAGTCCAAATTCCAATATGTTATTATTTATAGTGATCCTTGATACATAGTTCACTGAGGGACCTGGCAGAGGAAAACCCAATTATTTGGAGAAACCCATGTTTATTCCAGGATTTAGAAAATTCCCATAAATGAAACTCCAAGGCATATAATCTCACATTCATAAAAGCACAGAACACTAAAAGAAATAGAAAAAAAGACAACAAAAACAGCTATTTGCAGACCAGAGGCATGAAGACTTCAGATACAACCACTATCAGACAGCATATAAAAGAAATATGTTTTGTATGTTTAAAGACACAAAATATGCAGATAAAATATAAAATAAAAACACAGAGTATAATAAATTACAAAACAGATTTGATAAAGAGCCAAATAGAACTTCTAGACTCCAGAAATGCAAAACAAATCATTACAACTATAGAAATAAATTCTGAACTGGAAGATATTACATAGAGTATAACACAGATGGACATGGAGACACCAAATATGAAAGGCAGGTTAAGTGTCATGGAAGATCCAGTGAGAAGGTTTATAGGCCTAGGAAGAATAGGAAAGGGAATATGACAGAATCCAGAGAGAGCAGCTGTGAGGAAAGAGCTGCCTGACAGGAGCTGTGACCTTCAGTAAATGACCAATCAGCCTGGCAAAGAGGGATTAATGGAAATCAGTGCCCAAACTCACTGTCTCATATTATTTGAACATATTTGGAAACCAGAGGACAATAGAGGTCACTGACACAGTCCCTACATGTCATCCTTTTAGGGAAAAAGTAAATGAAGAGGATTCAAAAAATGATATCCAGAACAATATACAATAGAGGTTCCAGAAGAAAATAAGGAAGACAATGAGGCAGGAGAAAAAGTAAAAGAGAGAATTATTGAGAATTTTTCAAAATAGATGAAAGATTCAATTATCTAATACAAGAGCCCAGGAAATTCAAAGCAGACTAAATAAGAAGAAAACAATATTTAGTGAAATTATGAAAAAAAGAGCAGGACATACATGAAAACAAGTATGATTTAAGGGAAGCTAGTCAGGAAAATACATCATCTTTAAATAAGCAACAGATTTACTGACAGCTAACTTCTCAAGAGCAACACTGGAAGCCAGAAAATGGTGGAACACAATCTTCTATCTCCTGCAAAAAATAAAAGTCAACCTGGAATTCTACACTCAGTGAAAATATCATACATGAAGGAAGACAAATTAAGAAATTTCAGAAAAAGACAGAGATTTTGCCATCAATAGAATTACTCAATTAAAATAGTAAAGAATGCACTTCAGGCAAAAAATAAAATTATCCCAGATAGAAGATCCTAAATACAGGAAGAACTAAAATGCAAGCAAACTGTTATATATTTGGTGATATTTCAATAAAAATAAGACTATAAAATTATCATAATAATATTTCAGGAATTAAAAACTAAGATAAAACTAAAATACAAAATAAAGATAGCATACAAGTAAGATACAAAATAATTGGATATAAAGTGATTGAAATTTCACTGCAATGTTTGGAAGAAAGGTTGAAACCCTGAAGAACTTGCTCTTGATATTTGAGTTTAAATTTGACATATTAAACGTTTAGAGTAAATGATAAAATAATGGTACCAGGGTGTATAACTTTCAAACTAGTAGAGGAAAATATCAGATTAGAAAACCAACCAATTAATACAAAAAAGTAAGAAAACAAGAGATAATTAATATAAAAAAGAGAGGACAAATTGAAAGTTTCAAAATTCATAAAGCAAAACATATGACTGGAAGAAGTAACAGAAATCTAGAATTACATTTAAGGATTTTAATACCTTATTTGAATAAATGACAGAACAAATAATTAGAAAATTAGTGGAACACGAAAGCAACAATATCAACCAACTTAAAGTAATTGACATTTATAGAGTAATCCACTAATTAATACCAAACTATATATTTCTTTCAAAAGAATATGTAATATTTACCAAGATAGACTATATTCTGGGTCACAAAATAAATCTTAAAAGATTGACAGTAATACAAAGTATATTCTCAGATTATGATGAAATTATATTAAAAATCGATAGTACAAAGATTTCTAAAAATCACAACCATTTGAAAACTAAATGACAGAATTCTAAATAACACATAGGTCAAAGAAGAAAGTCAAAAGGGAAAATCGAGTATATGTTCAACTAAAAGAAAATGAAAACAAAACATTACAAAATTTTGGAGAATCCTACTAAAGCAGTTCTTAAGAAAGATTAATGCACTAAACATCTATATTAGAAAAGGGAGAAAAAGGTCTCAAGTAAAATATTTCAACTTCTTCCTTAAGATATTAGAAAAAGAAAGGCAAATGAATCCCAATGTAAGCAGAATAAAAGTAATAATAAATTATTAGAGGAGAAATCAATGAAATAGATAATTGATTTAAAATTCATTAAAAGCCATAGACCAAAAGTTAGTGCTTTAAAAATATCAACAATATAGATAAACCTTTGTCCAACTTGTTCAGGAAAAAAAAAAATTGACAGAAGACACACATATCAATATCAGGAATGACAAAATGGGATAACAGACACTACATATATTTAAAAGATGAGAATTTTATGAACATTATGAAATCTATTAAGATCTATGAATAAATATTCAGACCCAGCAAGTAAAGGAAAACCCTGATAACTTCTAGCCATATTCAGAAATGATATAAATAAGTTAGCTACATAACAAAAAAATGCTGAATGTGCACAATTAGGTGACTGTAATTGGTGAGTTGTACACGTTACAATGTCTATGCAAATAATTTGTTTCAAGTATGTGCCATTATGCTGGTGTAAGAAAACAGTGTTTCAATGACTCTTTAATTTGGTGGTAGAGAACCTTCATGGATTGTGATAACAATCAAAGCTTTGAATGCATATGAACATGGGTTTGAATAATAACTCCACATACATACACATCTGGAAGCGATTAACCTCATGTATAGGTAACTCTATCATGGTGAATTTATAAAATAAAATGAAATAAAACAACAATGAGCCAAGTAAGACCCTCCTCAATTCCTTTTCTCCCTGAGCCACTCAACCACTAGAGGAAAGCATCTAGGATCATAAAATAATCAGCATAAGGAAAAGAAGCTCAACTTCAGCAAGAATTGGATTCACCTATTTCAGTGCAATGTAGAGAAGGCAGAAAATTACCTACAGAAGGGGATCAGTATCCATAAGTGCAAAGAGCACATGTCAGATAGCCCAAGCATTCTGTGAATAAGAGAGAGAGAATCTCTGAGCTGTGGTTCTGCCTATTTTTCTAGTAAAAGCTTTGACCCAGAGACAATATTGTATCTATTGTTGTGGACTGAATAGTTGTGACATAAGTTGAAGTCCCAACCCCCAATGTGACTATATTTGGAGATAGGGCCTTTACAAGAAGTAAATAAGTTTAAACGAAGTCATGAGGGTGGGTCCCTAATTTGATAAAAATTAATGTTTTTATAGGAAG